CCCGAGGCCCCGGCGAGCTCGCTCACCTCTCCTCGTCGCCGCGCGTGGGCCGCCGCCGCGCTCAGGCTCGCCGTGGTCGAGGCCAGAGCAGGGTGCGGGAGAGTCGGGCCCGTGCAGGAGAGAACCGCCGCCGCGCCGGGACCGAACCCACCGCACCCGCCGCAGCGCCACCACCGCCGCCTCAGCTTCCAAGATGGCCGCTCGCCGGGCGGGGCCGGTCGTGCTTCCGCTTCCGGGGTGCGGGGGCGGCCGCTCTAGGTGGCGCTGGAGGACCGCTTCCGCGTCTCGGTGCCCCACCGCCGGCCTCGCGAGGTGCCGCAAGGCGGACCCCAAGGCAGACATCCTGCAGCCAGAGCGCCGTCCAGGCTGCCGGACGCGAGCGACGTGGAGGCAGTGAGCGGCAGGAGGACGCCCTGCAGCCCCACACTCACGCTCCGCTCCAAGCTTCCGGTTCTGACCAGGAGCGCCCAAGCCAGGGCCGCAGTGCCCAGGACAGGCCCCGTAAAAGGGTGGCCCTGGCAGGGACCCCCAACCCTCACTCCGGCCACTCTCCCAAGGATCAGCCCAGTCCGGTTTGGGGACCCGGAGTCTTGTTCCCATTTCCCACTTAACAGGAGAGCACAGAGGTAACCCAGTCTATCAATGACCAAACCTGCCCCCCAACCTCTTAGGGCCCCTCTTGGGGTCCTTGGGAGTCAGGTCCTAGGCTGCCTTGTCTGGCCACAGGTGAGGCATGGGGACCTTGAGCCCTGCTGGAAAACCTGTCCCCGGTGGAGTGTGGGGGCAAGCCTACACGTTTCCATAACCTCAATGGGGAAAGCGTGCTCATAAAAATATTCCACTGTATCCCAACCCACCAAGTTTCCTGCCCAGCCCATGAACAGGTCGTTGTGCACCGGTGGACACTGCACTGAGCTTGCTTTCTGCTCCCACGATCTGCTCCCTGGCCCTGGGGGGAGGGGAAGGCACAGCTGGCCACTGCTATCTGATGGGGGCTGACCAGGGAGGTTGCATGTGGGGGGTGGGAGCATCCAGGGGGCAGAGGGGGACTGGACCCCAGGAATGGCATCACACGAGACCCCGGCTGCAGCAGGTGTAGCCATAGCCCTCGACCCCAGCAGACCGTCCTGCTCAGACCAGCTCCAGGCCGAGCCTTGGCCCATGGCCGACATCTCCCAGCTCAGACCCAGCCTGGCTGTCCACCCCAACCCCTGCACTGGCGCTGGATCAGCTGAGGCTCAGGCACACAGATGGGCTCAGCAAGGCCCAGGTGTCAAATGCTCCTCCCTCGCACCCTCTTTGCCTGCTGAGCTCACAGAGGAGAGCTTGCAGCCCCATTCCCTGGATTTGCCCTTGGACCCCTGCCTCCCCAGGGCAGAGCACCAAGCACGAGGGCCTCTCAAGTCCTCATGTTTGACTCGGAGATGTTTGGGTGGACATAAGGGTGGCTGACAGGTGGGCAGAATAGATGGTAGGGGAGAGACGGTGTCTGGACGAGGGGAGGTCTGGGTATGTAAGCACATGACCTAGCTTGGCCCCGAGACGGGGCCAAGCGGGGGACCTAGGGTGCCCCCACAGGTTGTCCCAGGAGACCTCTACCCCTGTGGCCTCTACAGTAGCGGAAATGAATATCAACGGCAGGAGGTACTGGCAGCCTCCTCCAATGCAGAAAGAAGGGGCTCATCAGGGGCTCCTAGGAGGCACATCACTGTGTTGGACCCTGGAGAGCTGGGCTTTGAACCCTGAGTCCTTGCCTTTAGCCTCAACCCTGCTTTCTCTCAGGGTCAATCTGGGCTGGTCCGAGAGGTGGCTGACCATGTGACAATCGATGGACAACAAAGGCCGGCGGCCACCCTGGACCCCAAGCCCACAGAGAGTGCCTGGGGGCCCGGAAGGAGCCTGTGTGCCTGCCTGCGTGTGTGTGTGTGTGTGTGTGCGTGTGTGTGTGTGTGTGTGTGCATCTGACATCATGAGCCAGTTCCTAGGAGTCCACCCCCTGCTCCCACCCCTGGAGACTTCTGAGTCTCCGGTTCTCTTTCCGCCTCCGCCCCAGAGCTCTGTCATCTCCAAGAAGAGTGGGTGGTGCTGATTTTAGCTCATGAAAAATTATGTAAGGGGGCCACCAGGGCACTGGGAGTATGGGCACAGGTTGCCCACGAAATCTACACACACACCTAAAGCACGACTAGGGACGGGGGCAGGTCAGAGGCCTCCGTGCACCACCACCCCCAGCACCCCATCGCCACGTGCAAGATGAGGCACCACATCCCCGCAGGAGCTTGGGAGGGTCCTGTGGAGAGTGTCTGAGACAGGTGTGGCCACAGGTGATCCCCAGGCCCGCAGCCCTCAGCCCCCCAACTCCGCACATGTTGTCCCCCGGTCAGCCGACTCAGGCCACTCAGGCCCCTGGCCATTGAGCTGGTGGCCTTAGGATCGGGACAGGGCACAGGCAGCTGCCTTTCATGTGGTGACTGGGACTTCTCAGACCCCAAAGCCACACCTCAGGGGCAGGAACCCCTTCTGGAATCAGAATGGCTGGGAGAGCCCTAGGGAAGGACTTCCTGCTGGTATGAAATGGGTGGCCAGCGTGGCTGGAGCAGCCATCTAAGATAGCCAGGCTTCAGAAAGAGGGTAACAGTGGCCACTCCTCCCCCCATCCTGGACAGAGCAACCTGTGGCCCAACAGCTGCCAGGAGGCTGGAGGGTGAGAGTCAAGAAACCACCCTTCAACTGACTATCCCCCCAGGGCTGGCCCTAAAGGTCCAAGTCGGATCGGACCAGCAGACATCATCTGGATCTGGCTAGGCTCAAGCTTATTGGCTCCAGGCAGGAGACAGGGCCCATGAAGCCACTGCAGGAGCAGGGAACTGCAGGCGCCCCTGTGCCCGGCCATCACCACTTGGAGGTGGCCAGGGGGAAGCCTGTACCCTACATCCCCACCCCTGCATGTGGGCCCCTACATTGGGAGGCGGGGGACACCAAGCCAGCCCACATCTGCTCTGCCACACACTCCATGAACACAGCATGTGGGGCCCCTGCCCTGACAGTGTGGTCCGTGCTAGGAGGGGGCAAGGCTTTTGGGAGCACCAAGGAGGCCCCCCACCGGCCTGGGGGCAGAGACCTGACATCAGCCCCTGGCCCACCCACCCCACTGGGATCCAGCACACCAATGCAGAGCCCATGGGCCTCAGGCTTCACATGGGTTGGACCAGAACCCCCCAGGGCCAGGCAGAGGCCGAGGGCAGACTCCGGGCTGTCCCTGAGCATGGGGTTCATCATGGGGTGGCATCCAGTCTGGGGTTCTATATGATACCCAGGGCACCCGCAGTCTCCAGGCAGCCTCTTGTTCCTCCCAAGTTCACCACCTCCAAGGATAGAGAGGTCAAGTTCAGGGCTATACTCAGCAGGCTGGCCAGAGAGGGCAGAGGGCCGAGGGGAGCCAAGGCCACAGTCGTCCACTTACTCAGCACCATCGCCTCTTCTCACCACAGACCAGTGAGCAGCAAGCATGGCCCAGTCTCATGCCAGAGACCAGGACACCTGTCCTACCCTAGCCGAAGCGCCTTCTGCTCCCCTGAGGGCTGGCAGGGGTCTAGGGGGCAGGCGAGAGGAAGGCCCCTGAGGGAAGAGAGGGAGGACCCTCTGACCTCATTGGCACTAGAGGAAGTCTCTGTGCTGGGGGTGGGGGCAGCAACAGACCCCCTGCCCTAAAAAACGTATGCTCTGGGGCCACCTCCTGGCCTCTCCCCAGGCCCAGAACTGGGCTCTGGGACACCATGGCTGAAGCCCCTCAGCCCTCTGGTGGCTCTGTCCGGTGGTGCTTAGGAGTTCCCTAAGCAGAAGTGAGGAGCATGGGCCAGGCTGCATGCCTCCTGGAAGCTGAGCTCTGACTCGGGCCCTGCAGGGCAGGGGTCCGCATGCCCCTGCCCTTGGCTGGAGCCCCCCTCCTACAGGAGGGCCACAGCCCCTGCTCCCTGAAAGCTCCTGTCATGGATTGAATTGTGTCCCCCCAAAAATGTGTGTATCAACTTGGCTAGATCATGATTCCCAGTACCATATGTTGTGTAATCTGATGTGATTTCCTTATGTGTTGTAAACTCTATCACTATGATGAGGTTACATGTGATTTCCTTATGTGTTGTAAACTCTGTCACTATGATGAGGTTACACTGATGAGGTATACAAGATTGGATAGCGTCTTAATCCAATCTCTTTTGAGATACAAGAGAGAAGCGAACAGAGACACATGGGAACCTCATACCACGAAGAAAGCAGCGCCGGGAGCAGAGCACGTCCTTTGGACCTGAGGTTCCTGTGTAGAGAAGTTCCTAGACCAAGGGAAGACTGATGACATAGACCATCCTCCAGAGCTGACTGAGAAAACATTCCCCTGGAGCCGAAGCCCTGAATTTGGACTTGTAGCCTACTGAACTGTGAGAGAATAAACTTCTCTTTGTTAAAGCCATCCACTTGTGGTATTTCCTTTACAGCAGCACTAGATGACTAAGATAGCTCCCTTGGGCTGTACTGGACCCACCTCCTTCCCTCAGGTACCCCATTGCTTGCAGCCCCACTGCTTTTCTGGTGTTCAGTGTTGCAACCCCGTGACACCGGGAGACACAGTTTGCTCCAGCTTTAATTACCCAGATGGAGCCCGGGGGCCCTTTTTCTGCTGCCACTGATGTCCTCCCCGGGCAGCGTTCGGCCCCAGTCAGCTTGGCGCTGTCGTCCATGGTGCACAGACCTACCTCCAGAGGGAAACCACTCGGTGTGGAGGGAGGCCAGAGACATACTGGCCTCCACCGAGTCTGGGTCTCCACACACTCAACATACCTGGTCTGATCTCTGAATTTGTGCCCTTGTACTTGAGGAAATGGGCTGACAGGTTGAGCAATTTGGGTATGTCACACAGCTGGTCAGTGACGGTGATGTGATTCGCACCCAGGTCAGGGTGAAACTAGGGTCCAGCTCCTTCCCACATGACTTCCCCTCCTGTGACCTCACAGGGGCCACTTGCTTCCTTCAAAGCCACGAGGATCATGCCACATCCTTTTTCAGAGCCCAGGCCTTCAGCACTGATTGGAATGTGGTGTCGGGAACCCAGAGTCTGCCCTGGAGAGGGGCAGCAGGGCCTGAGCCCAAACCTCAAACCTGGTACCAGACGGAGGGTCTGGTCATTTGGGATGGCAAGGCCATTGTGTGATCCTGGGGATATATTGGGTCGTCCAGTGGGGCCAGAGACATGGGTGGTCCTGAGGGCACAGAGACATCTGGTGGTCTTGGGGGCACCAGGACACCTGTTCATCCTGGGGGGACAGTGGGTCATCCTGGGGGCACAGGGACGCCTGGACATCCTAGAGGCACAGGGACACCTGATGGTCCTGCCTTCAGTACACTGCTGGCTTCACATGACCACACATAGGCTGAGGACTTCAGCCTCAGAGACAGTGTGATTTAGACCCTATGTGTGGTACGTGGTTTTAGAGTGTGATATGTGGACTTGGTGTGTGGGTGTGGTCTTAGCGAGTGGTGTGTGGTCTCAGTGTGTGCTGTGTGGTCTTATGGGGTGGGTGGTCTTAGTGTGTGATACGTCATCTTAGTGTGTAGTCTGTGCTCTTAGTGTGTGGTATATGGTCTTAGAATGTGCTACGTGTACTTAGTGTGTAGTTGTTATGGATTGAATTGTGTCCCCCCAAAACATGTGTTGTAAATCCTAACCTCTATGCCTGTGGTTATAATGCCAGTACAATTGGCTGTCTTTGTTATGTTATGCTATGTCAATGAGACTAGATTAGTGCAGGGTGTGTCTTGAATCAATCTCTTTTGAGATATAAAAGAGATTAAACGAGCAAGCGAGAGAAGTAGAGATGGGGAAAGAGAAATGCTGAGCCACATGAAGATCGGCCAGGGGCTGAAGCTCAAAAGAGACAAGGACCTTCCTCCAGAGTAGACAGAGAAAGAAAGCAACCCCTAAGAGCCAGTACACAGAATTCGGACTTCTAGCCTCTGAAACCGTGAGAAAATAAATTCCTGTTTGTTAAAGCCTTCCACTTGTGGTATTTCTGTCATAGCAGCACTAGATGACTGACACAGTGGTCTTAGCGTGTGGTATGGTCTTATCACGGGATGCGTGGTCTTAGCAAGCGGCATGTATCTTAGTGTGTGCTGTGTGGTCTTCGTGTATGGTGTGGTTGCTGGTGGCATTAACGGCTGGTGGGAACTGGGCCGAGGTGCCTACCCAGGGGCACCAAGTGCTGTCTCCACACCAGGCCCCAGGTTCTTCCCACAACTAGTGCCCATCCCAATGGCTGGTCCCGCAAGATACCTGGGTGCTGGGAGCAGACAGGCTGACCCCTACCCCACCCCCACCCAGCGTTCTCCCCACTGTGAACACTAACAGTCAGAGCTGGCAGCATTAGCCAGGCAGAAGGAGCGGGCATTGAAGTGAGGGGCTGGAGCGAGCAGGAAGAGCAGGTGTTGGACCTAGTACAGCATCTGTATGCCACAGGGGATCTGAGCTCCAGGGCCGGGCACAGTCTGCTCAGGGCGGACAAACCATGCACCCAAGGGGTTCCCAGCCCAACGCACACCTCTCCTCTCCCTCCCTAACCCTAGCCGGGGCAGGATCTCAGGCCCTACATCCCAGCCCTCAAAGACTTTCTTTCCGGGTCCCGAGAGCAGGTGTGGCCACCCCAAGGCCCACTAAGCCTCTCCTTCGCCACCCGCCCCTGCATGCCTGGCCTCATAAATAGGAGGCTGCCCAGCCAGCCTCAGGCCACATCCCTGCCTTGTCACCCGCTGAGCTACAACCATCGTGCCCAACTGACGGGAGCATGGAGGTGCCTGCACCTGGGAGCTCCAGCCTCAAGGTACCCGGGGGCAGGGTGGGGGGTGGGGGTGAGGTGGGCGGGGAGTCTGATGTAGGCAGGAGCAGGCAAGAGGAACTCCTCAGGGGGTTTCCCTTCCCATGCCTGTCTATGAGGTGTTGTCAAGGCAGGATCCTGGTGGGGAGGATGGGACAGTCATCTCGGGCCCTGGTCCCTCACACCTGAGTGGGCAGCTGTGTGTTCCATGTGGTGGGTGCACGGCCTGTGCCATGGGTTGGACAGGCCCACAAAGGCATCCAGGGTGGGCACCCCCACAGAGTGAGTCCACATGCCACACTCCACACAGAACACACAAGTATGAGTGCACTTGGAACCAGGCCAGGAGGAGAGGCCAGCACAGTCCTGCCACCACATGCAGACACACATAGGAGGGCGGGGGTAGGGCACGAAACCTCTGCAGGGGATTGACAGAGAGCCTGGTGGGTATGCAAGGAGAGCATGTGTATTTGCATGTGTGCATGTGTGTGCATGCATGGGCAGACCCACGTATGGGTGGAGGTGTACACTTCTTCTCTAGGCCATGTCTGAGGGACCTTGGGTCCCTGTGAGTCTTCACCCTCTGTGCTGGTGTCCTCGTCCCCGACCCCATCTTCGGGAAGCCCTGAACACTCTGACTGGTCCCCAAGAGCCTCTCTCTAGAGCTCCCCCTTTTCCTGTCCTAGCAGCCCCAGCTGTGGCAGGAGGGAGTCTAGGTGGAGAAGAAAAGCAGTTACAGGAGTCAGACAGAACCTTCCAGAGCCTCCTTTGCCTCACCTGTAACGTGCAGTTGATCAGTCCTGTCTTACTGATGGGCTCAGTGTGGTCACAAGGATGCAGGTTTGGATGCAGCTCCGTGCTGTCGGGGGCCCAAGGTGGCACGAGCTCCTGGGATGTGGTGCCACAGGGCAGGGCCTCTGATCCTACCCTCCTGCCCTCACCCCTGGGGCACCACATGGCTGGCCGGCCTGTCCCTACACGCAGGGTCCCAGCACACACATGAGCAACCTGCTTGGGTGTACATGACAAGGCACTTGTTGGCCGAGACTCAGCAGATGTTCCCCCCTCGGCTCCCTCCCTAAGGCCTGCCCAGTACCTGGGCTGGGGGAAAGGGGCCAGAGCCCAGCAGGTGGTACTCTAGGCAGGCACAGGAAGGCTCAACTGATTCAGACCAAGGTGGGGACACCATGGAAAGCCCACGGGAAGCATGTGCAAGTGACTCAGAGCGTGGCCAGGCCCCAAGGCAGCTGCCTGCCTGTTCGTGTGTGGGGGGAGCCAAGCCTCAGGCCTGTTCAAGAGGGCTCAGCTGGCTGGGGGACCCTGGAGCCAGGCAGGACATAGCCAGAGTTCTGCAGTGGCCTCCCTTCCCTAGGCCTCTTGGGTCCCCACAAATGGCTAGCCTCTTTGCCCACCTTGTCCTGAAGCCCAAGCAGGGCCTTATCTACAAAAAATAGCACCTATGGCAGTTAGTTTTAAATTGCTCAGTGATCTCTCACAGCTGCCAGTGGAAACTTTGATGGCCAATAGAAACTGCTCATTAGCGTTCCTCCTCAAGCGGCACCCAGGGCACTTGCCCTACCTGCCGTAGCTTAGTTATGCCTCTGATCTGCCCAAGGTCCTGGAAAGGGGATGAGAGAAATGAGTCTTCCTCAGGCCCTCCAGACTCCAACATTGGGCCCTGGGCCCGTGAACACAACACAGCCCCCTCACGGGGAGGGTTTCCTGGACCCCGGTTCCCCAGGGGCCCCGCCAACCACAACTCTGCCTGCAAACAGGGTCGGGTGAGCGTAGGATGCCATGTCCTTCCGCCCTCTGGCCACCCTGACCACCCAGGCTCAGACTGTGGCCATTAATAAAATTGGCCCAAGACAGTGCCTGGCTCCTGACCAGGCGTCATGAGAGTGGGGCAGTGAGGACCTGACCGTCTCTGCATCCTCAGGGGCTAAGAATGGAAGTCTGCCCATCCCCGGCTGGGGAGAGTCCTGGCAGGGCTGGGGGCCTTCTGAGACGCTTATTGGCTCCAGGCAGGAGACAGGGCCCATGAAGCCACTGCAGGAGCAGGGAACTGCAGGCGCCCCTGTGCCCGGCCATCACCACCACCACCGCCGGCTGAGAGGGAGCGCCGGGAGGGGCTGGTGGAGCTGCATGCCTCCTTCACGGAGCTGTTCACCTTCTTCTGCACCAACACCACCATCCATGGCCCCCAGCACCTGCTTGGCTCCAACCACAGCCGCCTCCGGAGGGCAACCTGGGGGCTGCTGCTCCTGGGTGCCCTGGGCATATTCTGCTGGAAATTCATACTACACCTTCAGGAGTGCTGGGGCTACCAGGCTACCATGACGGTGTCTGTGCCCTGGGGCCGCAGGCTCTCACCGGCAGTCACACTATGTGACATGAACCCACACCGGTGAGGGAGAGGGTGGGGGACCAGAACGACAACGGAGAGGGGGCTGAGCCAGGGACACTGGTGGGGGGGTGCTGGGCTAGGGCCAGCGGGAGGGGGGTGACTCCTTGCCCAGCAGCCTGTGGGCATCCCTCTACACAGCCTCAGCTGGTCAGTGATGACCCCATCTCCCCGAGCCCCTTGCCCAGCCAGGACCTCTCGGACCTCTGCCTGGGGGAGGAGGAGGGTTGAGGACAGGAAGGAATTCCAGCGCAGCATGACTAGTGTGTCCCCAGGTGCTGGAGAGAGGGATGCTTTCCAGAAGGGCAGCCCAGAGCCAAGCTGCAGTGTCGCTGGGAAGGGAGAAGGGCTGCACACGAGTGGGGAGGCAGCAGGGATGAAAATGGAGGGAATGGGTGGGCCAGGAGGACGGTGGAGACTGCAATGGACTGGGGGGGGTGGTGGTGCACAGGGGCATGAGGGCCAGGCTGGGCTGGGGGACCTGACTCACTCTGCAACCCCCAGGAGCCATGGTAAACAGAAAGCTCCTAAGTCAGGCTCCCAATTTAGAGAGCCTCTTCCAAAGTCGGGAGAGGGGGCAGGCTTCATCTGGGTGGCACACACGGGGAGACTGAGGCTGCAGAGTGCTGTGACATTGAGGTCGGTGCCTTGGGGCTTAGCACAGCTCTTTCCAGCAATGCCTCAGGGACTGGTTCAACAAGCCTCAGGGCTGTGGCTCTGTCTCAGTGTGTCCACTCGTCTCACCCAGCCTTGCCCCCCAGTACCTGGAGAAGTTGGATGAGTTTGCACGGGAGAACATCTACTCTCTGTACAAGTTCAACTTCAGTGACGGCAGGCGCCCCACCAGGACCACCCCCACAGCCTATGGCCCGGGCCCCAAGCTGGACTTCCAGCTGGACCGAGGACTACGTCTGCAGAGGCTGAGCGAACCGGGCAGCCAGTGTAAAGTGGGGTTCAGACTGGTGAGTGTCCCTAGCCCTGATTGGGCCACGGCAGGTGTCCCAACATGCTGTCATCCTGAAGGGTGATGGGAGGGGACAGCATGGCATGGGAGTGGAGAGGCAAGCCAGGCAGGCAGGCAAGGGGGGCTGTGGCCACAAGACTGACCCCCCCACGCACCCCCAGTGCAACAGCACGGGCGGCGACTGTTTCAACCGCGCCTACTCCTCCGGCGAGAAGGCTGTGCGGGAATGGTACCACTTCCACTACATGAACATCCTGGCCACCGCCCAGGAAGATAGCCACCAGAACCACTTCATCCTCTCCTGCCAGGACAACTCGCAGGACTGCCCAGCTGGGTGAGGAGTTGGGCTAGGTGGGTGCAGCCTGGGGGCTGCCGGGTAGAGACTGGCCACACATAGCCCTTGCAGAGATAAGGCAGGCCATGACCCCTGAGGTCACTCAAAATTGGCCAGTGGGGTACTCGTCAATGGCATGGGCTGGTCTGAGCCTGGGACCACATTGCAGAAGCTTCAAGACCTTCCACCATCCCATCTATGGCAGTTGCTACACCTTTAGTAACATCTTGGCTACAACGCACAAGGACATCACCCAAGGTGAGGGGCAGCCTGGGCCAGAGGTGAGGGCCAGGTGGGGGTGGGCAAGGAGACAGCCAGGCAGGGGTGGGGGTGGTGCTGGCCGGGTCCAGGGTGTAGGCAGAGTGGGCTAGGCGGGAATATGGGCAGGGGGTGGAGTGGGCCGGGTGTGGGCAGGGGGCCAGGTTGGGGAGTGGGAGGGGATTAGGCTGAGTGTGGACTGCTTCACCGTGTCCCCCTCCCCCAGGGATCAGCCTGGTGCTCAGGGTCGAGCAGCAAGACTACCTCCCGCTGCTGTCCGCAGAGGCCGGCATAAAGGTCATGGTCCACGGACACAACCACACGCCCTTCCTGGAGCCACCCTCCCTAGAACGCAGCTTCCTGGAGCCCCGCAGCTTCAGCATCCTACCGGGGACCAAGACTACCATCAGCATCCGAGAAGTGGGTGGTGGCTCTCCTGCAGTGGGCGGGGCCTGGGGCAGAGCTGTGCCTGTGGGCAGGCAGCAGGAACTGAGGCCGTTTCCCCCCAGGAGGTGGTGCATTGGCTCCGGAGCCCCTATGGGGACTGCATGGACAGAGAAAAGGGTGTGGACATACCGCTGCTGTACAACACGTCCTATACCATGCAGGTGCAGCCGCAGAGGGGGGCACTCAGGGTGGCCACCACCCTCCCCCACCCTGGGCAGAGGACAGGGCCCACAGTTGGGGACAGTGAGAGGTGGCCACCGCGAGGAGGAGGTGGCTGTGCAGGCAGGCCGGCCCCTGGCAAGGGAACAGTAGCCCTCAGGGCTCCCAGCTCCCATCCTCTCCTGTCCTCCCAGGCCTGCCTGGTCTCCTGCTTCCAACAGCTGATGGTCAAGAACTGCTCCTGTGGCTACTACCGCTACCCCCTGCCTGCTGGGGCTGAGTACTGCACCTATACCCGGCACTCGGCCTGGGGTAAGCCACGCCCATCCCCCCACCCTCCTGGCCTGTGATGAACCCCTGCACCCCCGGCCTGGGCCACTGGAAGTAGAGTCACCCCCACACCTCCCAGCCACCCTCGGGTCTTTCCTAATGGGTTCATCTGTAACCCCCCTCCCAGGTCATTGCTTCTACCGCCTCTACCAGGAACTGGAAACTCACAGCCTCTCCTGCTTCTCCCTCTGTCTCAGGCCCTGCAAGTGAGTGGGGGTCATTGGGGATCAGAGGTCACTGCCTTAGGTACCACCACAGGGCCTGATGGATGGGTCTGTCTCTCCCAGAGAGTCCTTGTACAAGCTCTCCATGTGGACCTCCAGGTGGCCTTCACCCAAGTCTGCTGTGAGTGCCCTTGAAGGGGTGTGGGTGGGGGCTGCCCTCGGACCTGCCCTTTGGTGCTGGGAGTGAGGGCTCAGCAAGGGGCAGCAGCCATATGGAAACTCCTGTGTGTAGGACTGGGTCCTGGCCGTGCTTGGGAGTCCCCAGAACCGGAGCCAGAGCCCAAGGTGGGTTTGCTGCCCCCTCCAAGGGTCATGTCCTGGCCCCTCCCTCTGCCAAGCATACCCTCTAGTGCCCCTTCCCCTCATGGACCCCAAGGAGGTGCCACACCAAGCAAGGCCGGGCCTGGGCCCAGCCTCCTCATGCCTCTGTTCCCACCCAGGAGCGGCATCGCCAAAGTGAACATCTACCAGGGGATCAACTACCTCAAGATGAAGGAGACGCCACTGCCGGTAAGCCAGCAGAAGGGCAGGCCAACCTGGGGGGCGGGGCGAGGGCCGCCATGTGCCAGCTCACCATGGGCCTCACCACAGGTGGAGAAGCTGTTCTCGGACATGAAAAACCTCATGAGCCAGTGGTTCGGTATGTCCGTGCTCTCCCTGATAGAGCTGCTGGAGCTGCTGCTTGACACAGTGTCTCTCGCCCTGCTGCTGGGCTACCGCTGGCTCTGTGAAGCATGGGCATCGCAGACGGGGCCCAGCATGGCGGCAGGGGCATCCAACACTCAGCTGGAGGCCAGTCAGGTGCCTGTCAGCTGCCAGCACAAGGCCAAGCATCTAGGGGGCCAATCCGGCCTCATCTCCCACGGACACTTCCAGGAGCCCTGGTGGGAGTCTCAGCTGAAGAGTTAGATTGGGCCTGGGGCCCATTGCCACCCTCCCCCAGACTCCCAGCACCTGAACCAGCCCTGCAGGGACCATCGGCTATTTTGCTTGATCCTGGGGGCTCTGGCCAATGGTGCGCAGGCGCCAGGGCTCTGGAACATCCAGGCCACCCATGGGCCCAGCTGCCCTCCCTGGAGGTGGGGTCACAGGTCTGAAGGAGGCCCAGGCCCAGAAGGAGGGAGCGTCCATACCACTCTGGGTTTCTGTGTTTCAGGAGTGACCCTGTGTGCTTGTATGCCTCTGTGTGTGTGCGTGTGCATCTGTGTGTGTTTCTGTGTATGCGTGTGTGTGTGTCTGTGTCTCTGCATGTGTCTGTGGAGGGGGTGCATGTCTGTGTCTGCGTGTGTGAGGGGCTCCTCCATGCTTCTGAGCGTGTCCACACATCTGTGCCTGTCTGCCTGCTCATGTATCAAGTGAAGCCTGCCCCACCTTTGGGGCAGCTTCTGCCAAGCAGGCTGAAGGAAGGATACAGCCTGACCAAGACATTTGGTGACCTTGGGCTGTTTTGTAATAAAATCGTGATTCCACCTGGCGTCTAGTGTCTGTGTGTACCCCACGTCACCCCGCCCCGGTTAGGCTGACACTTCCTCAAGGCAGACCACAGCAGCAACCAGGTAGACATGAGGGTGAGGGGTCAGGAGGGGCATTGGACAAAGGGCCAGCTTGCAGGCCCAGAGAACAGGACCAGTCCAGACCATCCTCTCTCATTGGTGTTACCCCATCACCCCTCCCAGAGGAGGCTGGGGGTGTCAGGAGTCTGTTCATCAAAGAAGCCTCATCAGGCACCTGGCAGGTGGGGGCTAGGCTCACCAGATCGACCAAGCCCAAGTGGCATCCTTTTGGGGAAGGGACGCTGGTCCTGGCCACTCAGGGCTCCCTCGCAGGGAAGGCTGGGACCAGAGGCAGAGTGGAGAGAGGAGGTCGAGCCAATGAGCAGGAGGCATGGCAAGCGGCAGAGGTTTATTAACAGTGTGTGATCCGGAGGAGCAGGTGGGGCTCAAGCAGGGAGAAAGGAAAGAGTTAATTTTCTCTTCAGGGTTCACAGCCATTGGGCAAGGGAGTGGGGGGTGCCCGGGTCAGCCTTGCCACCCACTGAGCCTCTCCGGATAGCATTTTGCATAGTGACCAGCTGACTGGCCTGGCCAAGGGCCCATAGCTGGGGAGGGGGCCCAGCCACTGCCCCGGGCCTTCCTCCAGAAAAGGGAAACAAAGGGCCCCACAGAAAAGGGTGGGGTCCCACAGTTGCTGAGACACCCCTGGCCCTATCGAAGGCCCAGCTCAAGGGGTGAGGCTGGTGGGGGCAGGGCCAGGCTGCAGGCAGAGCTGGGGCAAGGGGTCCTCGAGAGTCCACAGAGAAAAGACGCAAGACAGTCCAAACGAGGGCGTCGTAGAAAACCCGCTCAGCCGTAACAAAGACATTGAACGCGGGTGGAAAGTGCCAAAGTTGCTTTATGCAGGGCTCTGGGCCGAGTACCGGAGAAGGTGCCTCTGGAGGGGTCAGGGATGGGCCTGGGGCCGTCCCGCACCGTGGGCCTGCATGGCCCGCCACGTGGCCCAGGACGCCAGCGTCCAGCAGGGGCTGAAGCTCCAGGCCAAAGCCCCATCCACTCAGCACCCTCACAGCCCAGCTTGGATGCTGGGGTCACTAAGTGAGGTACACGGGGTTGATCCCTGGATGGGCCACCCCTCCCTGCCCTGGCAAGGCACTGGAAGCCAGCCACCGGCCTTGGGGCCTAGAGGAGGGGTTCTGGGGGCGTGTAAGAGGGACTCAAGTGGCAGGCCAGTGTTCTGGGACAGTAAAAGTGGGGCACGAGGTGACACAGGCTCTGAGGACAGAGGGTGTGAGGTGACACAGGTCCCACGAGGTGACCCGGCTTCCACAAAGTGACCCAGGCCCAAGGGCAGAGAGGGCACAAGGTGACACAGGCTCTAAGGCAGAGAGGGCACAAGGTGACATGGGCCCCCCAAGGTGACCCGGGCCCCAGGTCTGAGGGGCACACACGAGGTGACCCAGACCCCAAGGGCAAAGAGGGCACGAGGTGACATGGGCCTTGAGTGGTTTGTGGTGTGAGCAACCCAGGTCCCAGAGGAAGGCATGGGTCACTTGAAGACAAAGGGTCCCCAGGAGAGGTGAGGGGCACCATGTGATACAGCCTCCCTCTCTGGGAGAACCTAGGGCTTGAGGAGACAGTGCTGGGGTCCCTCTCCCCTCCCGGGGGGTCTGGGCAGTTCAGAGGAGGGAAGGGTGGGCGAGCAGCACACGAGGAGCACCCAGCATGGGGCTGTTGGAAGTGGGCCCAGGTGTCATCACAGGCAGGGCCAGGGGTGGGCAGGGCCGGGGTCTCCAGGGGCATGCAGGGTGGCCAGGCCGGCGGCCGGGTGCTGGGGAGGGGTCCCTCAGCTTCCCGGCCGGCCCGGCCCTAGCTCTCCTCCAGGTGGAGGCCAATGAACTCCTGGATACACCGGCGGTACTGGAGCTCGGTGGGGCTGCTGCCCACCAGCGGGCCCGGCTGGCCTGGCGGTGCCTCGGCCTCACGCATCTCCTCGGTCATGCGTGCCAGACGGAGCCTGGGGGCCGGCATCGTGAGGCAGACACCCAGTGTCTACCCAGGGAAGACGCTGCACTGCCACCCCGCCTCAGAACCCTGCCCAGCCACGAGCACCACGTCTACAATCCCATTGTCATCGAGTTGATTCTGACTCACTGTGACCCTATAGGACTGAGTAGAACTGCCTCATAGGGTTTCCAAGGAGCAACTGGTGGATTTGAGCTGCTCACCTTTTGGTTAGCAGCTGTAGCTCTTAACCACTGCACCACCGTGACTCCCCACCTGCAACAGATCCCCCCAACTCTGTCCCACCCCGCCCTGCGAGGATCCCCGGCTTCTCCGACCCTGCCCTGACCCATGGACCACCCAGCCCCAGGACCCTGCTAGGAATCGATCCCTGTGAGAACTCTGCTCCACCCAACAGATCCCCACCCTGCGGACCCCCACCCCAAGGACCCCACCCACACTCACAAGGTGACAATGTCCGCATTGGCCGCCTGTACCGCAATGCTCAGCGGGTCTTGCTGGTCATCGTCCAGGGCGTGCTGCTCGGCCCCCCGCTTCAAGAACAGGCAGACTTGGCTACGGGGCAGGAGGGGGCGAGTTGGGCCAGGCCTAGGGTACCACGGCGGGGGCGGAGGCACAGGCGAGGCAGGGTACTCACCCAGTGTGGCCCAGGAGCGTGGCGTGGTGCAGGGGCGCTCTCCCCCGGCTGTCTCTTTGGTTCACATCAGCTCCATTTTGCAGAAGGAATTCACAGATGATCAAGGAGCCCTGTAGGGTGCGGGCAGGTCAGGCTGAGCCAAGGAAAAGTACCCCCCCACTGCCCCCTCCACCCGATCCGGCGATGGGTGCCCTAGCCAGGTCCAAGCCTGGCCTCCGCAGGAGGACAAGGAGCCCTTGTGTGGGTACCACGGAAGGGCAGGTCAGGAATATTCAAATGCAGCCACATTATGAAAATGTGCATCAAATGATGCAAATGAGCCCCAGTGCCCCCTCCTGCCAGTGCCCTGGATCCCACCACCCTTCCACTCACCCCAAGCACAGCCTGGACCAACGTCGTCTTGCCTTCGTCCTCTGAGTCAGCCCAGTTGACCTCAGCTCCATGGGCCAGCGCCGCGGCCAGCGCGGGAAGGTCGCGAGTGCGCGCAGCACGGTGTGCTAGGAGCCCTGGGTGCAGCTCACGTACATCGGCCAGGCCCCAAGCCTCTGCCTCCCCGTCCGCCTCGCCACTGGACCCCTCCGACTCCCCACCCTCTGCAGGAAGAGGTGCAGTCAGGGGCAAGGACACGGCTGGGGGCGCTCAGGGGGCACCCCGGGGCAAGGGAGGCGCCACGGGCACAGCGGGTTGCACACCCACCCTCCTCTGTGACGCTGTCCACCACGGAGCCCGCGCCAAAAGCAAGTACATCGGAACTGCCGTCTGAACTGCCGCCTAGGCCACTGTCATTGCTCAGACCTGTGGGGCCCAAAGGCATAGGGGTTCCTGGGTGCTGGAGGTCCCGCACTCCTCCAGGCCCCCGGGGGGAAAGGCAGAACCCCAACCCTCCCAAGGACAGCTTGGCGCCAGGCAAGCCACAGTCTTTGAGAGGGTGCAGCAGCGCCCTCTGCTGCCCGCTGTTACCCCCACACGGCCCCCATCAGCCCTGCCGGCTCCTGGCTCCTGGCTCCTGGCTCCTGGCTCCTGGCCCCTGTCCAGTCCCTTCTGCCCACACTGCCCAGGAAAGCACTGCACAGTATCCTAGGCCAGTGGGCGCTGATAAATGTTTAACAACCAGCCCTGGGGTGGGGGGTGGGGCTGGCTTGTAGCATTTGCCAATTTCTGTGGTGTATAAAGATGCCCACCAGCCGATTCTGAGCAAAGTTGGGAAAAGATGCACACAATTGTCTCCTGTGAGCCAGCTCCTGCATACCACTGCCCAGGCTCCCCAGCACGCTTGTGCGTGTGTATACAAACACACACACATCCCTGGGTGCAGACACACACCTGGGTGCACGTGGCCATACATGTATTCACAAGTCACACATTCACACATACACACCTGTGTACATACAGCCACACACACATTCACATACACACATTATTCTTATCGGCGACTGACCCTTCAAGTCACTGTTCCAGCCTTAGCCCCAACCAAACCAAACCCACTGCCATTGAGTTGGTTCCAACTCATAGCCCCACTGACCCCCAAATTTTCCCTACCCCTAGACCAGCCTCTTTTGCAACACTGGCTCCCCAGCCCAGTCTCTCCTTCCTGCAGGCATGCCTGGCCCTCCAGTCCCTGAGCAAGCGGCAGAACTGTCCACACCTGGGCACCCTCGAGGCAAGTCCTGCCCTTGGAGGCAAGCCCTCCAAAGGTCAGTAGCCTGGCTGGACCTGAGAGGGTGAGTGGCACAAGGATGAGGGGGGCTACCTAGGACTTACTGCGTGGACCCGCCCCGGCAGCCCCTGCATCGAAGTAGGAGAAGAGGGAGTCTAGTTCATCCGGGCAGAAGAGGGAATCCCGGCGGAACTTGCGCTCCAAAGTGCTGGCTGCAGGGAGGCAGAACTACAAGTTCAGATGGGGAAACTGAGGCCTAGGGTGGGATTGGCTACCTCAGATTGC